AGGGAAAAAACTGAAGAAAACCTGGCAGGTACAAAAGCAGACTCAAGAGCAGCACACGGCCCATAACCATACAGGTATTTCAACATTTTGTTTCCAAAACATTGTTGCAATATAATGTGTATACAGAAAGTCTGCTTGAAGCCAACCCAACCTGGTCTGTTTGCAAAGGGTCTTATTTTAGCCACACATGAAGCACCATAGTTGGTTCGTTTGCTTAAAGAGGGAGATCCTGGGGGGAATGGGCACATCTCAAAACATTTTTAAGCATTAATTTTCTAGTTCTGCTTATTTTTATTATCTTTCAGGTTCCACGGAGCCGGTATAGCCAGAACATTTGCTAAAATAAAGAAGCAAAACTGACTGTGAAATCTCATCGGTGCGTTGGTGGATTAACTGAATTCTACAATACAATAACGTGTAACTGTTTTATTCAGTATGCGGGGTAAACCTTTATCCCACATATTGGTGTGGCAGGTCTAAAAGGCAGGTCTGTGTCCTGGGCCACGGGCTCATCGTGTTGTTGCATTTTCACATATATTAGAAGTTTAAATATATTTAAATGGCTTCAATAAGTAAATCCAGTTGTATCTCTGTGACAAGATGCAAGAAAGTATCAACATTTTACTCCTTTATGAAGTCATTTATGTGATGGATGTGTCTGCAAAGTGTGGCAGTTACAGTGGAGTCGTTTATAGAGCCAAACTGTCAATTAAATGCTCGGCTGTTCTTAAGCTGGTAGCACTGGCATCACTACACAGGAGTGAAAATATTGCATGTAGTTTGGATCAAACTTTAAATACGTTATTTGTTGTTTGTTGAAGTTCAGATTACACCATATGGGCCCCATGAACTAACATGAACGCTACATCCTTGTGTTAAAGGACAGTTGTAATGTACATGCATTGTTGTTGGATTACTGTATCGGGCAGAGTGAGAAGGAGGATTTTCAATGTCCTGGTGCGAGTGGAGCTATTATCATACAGCCCTCGGGCTCACTTTCGGGATCTGTTTTGATCTTCAACAAACAAGCAGACATCAGCTTGTCAGCCAAGGATCTATTCCGACTGCAGCGGCTTCTGTTTGACTTTGCCAATTGATTCATCAACTTATTTTTTGATTGGTTTCCTGACAGCTTCCCCGATTCTCTGACTGATAGCTCTACGTTTTGCCTTGAGGTCAAACTGTGTGATGTGTCTGCTCAGACAAGAAGGCTGTTTTAAGAGGCTGCCCTGGGTGTTTAAGGTAACCTTCACACACTCTGTGGTGGTCAGTGAATATTTCAGCACGCTGCACATAGAAGTATAAAATATAGATTAAGGCACCGTGCTGAAAAATGAAAACAGACTCTGTGATTTATAATGCTACTTGATTTGGCAAGTGGAATCATTTTCATGTTTCATTCCTTTTTCCACATTTCTGCTGCTGCTGTGTGGGGCTGTGATTACGCAAGCTGGTGCTCCAAAGGAGGATGTTGCCATCTGCTGGGAGAAAAGCTGAATAGCATGGGGTAACAGCACAACCTTGATTTGTTGCCATGACAAAATAATGTATTAATACTGTCATATATTTATATATACTATATATTTATGGATATGAATTAAATTCAAACTCAGTTTGAGCTAAATCGCAGTTATTGTTATAATGAAACTACAAAATGTACACTGATCAGATCCTGTTTACATCCTCAGTTCTGTTGCTAGATCCTTCTTCCAGTGCCATCATAAAGTTCTGATGTTTCCCATTAATATTTATATGTACTAGTTAGATGACACAGTTCATGTTAACAAAGCATGCTGACAGCTACAGTTATAACTATTACAACAATGCTATTCCTGAACATCTAAAGGATGACCCAGTTCTGTGTGAGAGGACTGTTCTCTTCCATCTTGCACTGAATTAATAACAGCTGACAGACCTGAAAGCCCAGTGTTTGGATGTTGGTGTTATTATCTCGGTCTGAATAATTAGGACAGAATGTGGACAGCTGAATTCAGCGCCTTACACTTGCAAGACCCCCACGCTGGCGTTCACAAACTATAAAATACCATAAAGGTAACAGATGTCATGAGCTTTGAAATGTTGCTGTGATAGGAGAAAATGATCATAACTGCCCCTAATAAAGGAACAAACCAGGAATGTTGTCAGTCATCTTTAGCCTGACAAGCAGCCTTTTCTATCCTTATCATCCTTTCATGGAAGGGGATGGCATTTTTTGCTCCAGAACCTCGAGTGAAAACCCCGGGTGTGGAAATTTGACTGTTATATAATTGTAAAGTAGCTCCTCCTTGAGGCCAAATGATTCCTCTCATCTTACAGGAGGTGAGGATCAGGAGTAGAAGGTGAACACTGGGCACCGAGCATGAAGGCATACTAAAGGGAAAGGCAGTTCTCAATATATGAGAATTAAAGTGAATCTGATACTAATACATCACAAAAAACAACAAAAACACGACTCAGAGCAAACCACTGCTGAGCTCAGTCTAGGCAATATTTACTTTTAAGGAAATAATATTATAAATTTTCTATATATTCAGTTTATTTTCTATGTTTTTTAAATGTAGTTTAAGAAGTTTTTAGTGCAGTAAAAACAAATTGCATGCCTTTGTCATTTGTCACCTACTAAAGATCCATTTTAATATACTTTAACACAACCGGCAGGTGTGAAACATAAAAGTGTGATCAGAGGTCAAATGTGACATCATATTCAGATTCAAACTATAATGTGATATTTAAACTCACCGTATACCAGTATCATTTCCTAAATGTTGCCAAAACAAACAAAGGCAGCAGAATTTTAAGCAAAGTTTGAGAGATAACAGACATTTTATCCAAATTTGACCCTATTTAACCACAAAGAAGAGGCCAGAGGTTCAAAGTAACGTGATATTTAGAATTTTCATATATAGTTCCCTATATGCCTATCAGAGATGGGCGAGTTACTGTAATCTGATTACTTTTTTCAAGTAACGAGTAAAGTAAGGGATTACTTTTGCAAAAATGGTAATTAGATTACCGTTACTTTCCCGTGGGAACGCTGCGTTACTGCGTTACTAAAACCGTGATTTTT